AAGCTTAAAGGGTAAAGGTTATACCTCTTGAAGCAAAGCACAACATAGGCACAAATCTGAGCTTAAACCACCTTCTAGAGCTCACAGGAAGCTCCAAGAGAGCTTCAAGCAACCTCAGCCCAAACATGAACCACTTTGATCAAGGATGTCTAGGCAAAGGAGAAGTGTATCTCTACTTGTATGCACAAAAGGGCAAGGGAGAGAGAAATCTAGAGAGAGAGGATTTTTAGAGAGAGAGGCTCCCAAAATTTGCTAACCTTGAAATATGAGAGATATGGCCTCTATATATAGAAAAAAGAGAGCCTTGGTCGAAAATATCAATTCAGAAATATCTGGGGCAACGTGGAACAGCTGGAGGGGAAATATCTGCAAAATATCTGAGTTTTGGACACCAGTGGCCAACCGGCCACTTTTAGTAGCCGACCGGCCACCTTAAGTGGCCGACAAGCACAACTAGTGGCCGATAGCAAAAATCTGCTTTTCAGGCCCGACTTCAAATGGGCATATCTCCTTCATCTGGACTCCTTTGTAGGTCATTCTTGAGCCTAAATTGAAGCCCTGGAAGTCTTATTTCCAATGGTGGAAGCCTCATATCAAAATTACAAGTGTGCAAAAAGATATGCCTCTTTTAGTGAACACTGCTCAGTTTTGATCCTAACCGGATTGATGCCTAACTTCAACCAACCATATCTCCCTCATCCGGACTTGGCTTTAGGAGATTCTTGAATGCAAAATGAAGCCCCGGAAGTCTAATTTCCAATGGTGGTGGCCTCATAGTTGAAATCCAAGTGTACAAAAGGATAGGCCTAATTTAGCGAGGGCTGCTCGACTCTCTCTTTTGACAGTTCATGCCCAACTTCTTCCCCAACTAGGTTTTTTTTCCCTCTCCTCCAATTTTCTTCAAATCCAAACCTCTAAATAAGATGTTTTAAAGATTGTTTTCAAAGAGATCACCTCTCCTTCATTTATTCCACTTTTTCCTTGCTCGGTTTACCGAAAAGCACAACATTTAACGAAATGCGAGTCTCGGAACATCGTAGAAACTTTTTTCAAAAATATTTTGAAAGAGAGGGTTTTAAGGTCTAAAATCTTTTTGATCAAAAGGATTTGGTCCAAAAGGGGGTGTGAGGTTGGGATTTGAAGCTCCTTTTGCCGAAGAAATCGAACCTTTACATTGCACAACTTTCATCACCAAGTAAGCAATCAGTGGCGCCCAAGTCTTAAGGGCGGTCAAAAATGGGGTGTCTACACATACTTAATGACACGTTTGACAATAATCAGATGAGACTCTTTAGGACAGGCTTGGTAACAGGCACAAACACCTACACTAAATGCAATGTCAGGATGACTGCCTGTGAGGTACAAGAGACTCGCTATCATACTCCTATAAAGGGTAGGATCAACATCAGTACCAGAGGAATCTTTGGAAAGGTGAAGACTGGTGCTCATGGGAGTGCGTGCATGTTTGGTTGACTCAAGACCGAACTTTGACACAAGGTTTTTGGCATACTTAGTCTGAGAAATAAACATACCTGAAGGAGACTGTTTAATTTGAAGACCTAAGAAATAAGACAACTCTCCCATCATGCTCATCTCAAACTCATGTGTCATGCAATCCGAAAAATATTTAACAAGATGATCAACAGTGGATTCAAACACAATATCATCAATATAAATCTGAGCAACAAGTATATGAGACTTAGTATGTTTCACAAATAAAGTCTTGTCCACACTACCCCTTTGAAAATCATTGCCAAGTAAGAAGGTAGTAAGTCTATCATACCAAGCCCAAGGGGCTTATTTCAACCCATACAAAGCCTTTTCTAACTTGTAGACTTGGTTTGGACATTTAGGGTCCTCAAACCCTTTTGGTTGCTTAACATAAGCCTCTTCTTTTAAGTACCCATTCAGAAAGACACTTTTCATATCCATCTGAAACAGTTTGAAACCAAGAAAGCATGCAACACCAAGTAAAATACGAATAGGTTCGAGGCGTGCAACTGGGGAAAACGTCTCATCATAGTCAACATCCTCTACTTGTGTGTATCCTTGACCAACCAACCTAGCTTTATTTCTTACCACAGTACCATTCTCATCATATTTATTCTTAAAGATCCACTTAGTACCTATCACATTCATGTCTCTAGGTCTGGGAACAAGAGTCCAAACATTGTTACGTTCAAATTGACCTAATTCTTCATGTATAACATTGACCAAACTATTATCTAGTAAGGCCTCTTTTATATTTTTAGGTTCAATTAATGAAACATAACACATATGAGATACCTCCTCCCGAATTCGTCTTCGGGTTTTCATTCGATCCGAGACATTTCCAATCACTTGTTGAGTTGGATGATTCAGTTTCACCCTTGCTGATGTTTGAACTCTGGACTTGTGGTGACAGAAGCATCAAAAGTGGTGTCTCTTTGTGCACTCTTTGGACTCTGACTTACCTGAGAAGTTGGTGTTGTCCCAACTTCTTGTGCTCGGACCTCAGCTTCTCTTTGACTTAGTGGTTCAGTATCCAGGATTGGAGACTCACCATTTTCTTCTTCATTTATCATTGAAGTAGGAGAACCTATGTCATCTATAACCACATTGATTGATTCCATTAAAGATAAAGTTCACAGGTTATAGACACGAAAAGCTCTACTAGTGGTTGAATACCCTAGAAAAATACCTTCATCACTTCGGGAGTCAAATTTACCCAAAGGCTCTCTATCTTTGAAAATGTAACATTTACTCCCAAAAGTTTTGAAGTATTTTATATTAGGTTTCAATCTCTTTCACAATTCATATGAAGTTTGTAAAGTGTCAGGCCTTAAATACACACGATTTATGACATAAACAACAGTATTTAAGGCTTCAGCCTAAAGCTTTGGAGGAACTTTCTTACTAAGGAGCATGAATTTAGCCATCTCTTGAACAACTCTGTTCTTCCTCTCAACAACTCCATTTCGTTGTGGAGTAATTGGTGCAGAAAATTCATGCTTAATTCCATCCATATCACAAAAATCCGAGAATGAACTATTTTCAAACTCACGACCATGATCAGTTCGGATTCTTATGATATGCCCAATAGAAACACCCTGTTCATTTTGGATTTTAAGGACTAAGGCCTGGAAAGCATTAAACGTATAAGATTTTTCTCTTAAAAAATTTACCCATGAAAAACGAGTAAAATCATTAAAGGTCAAAAAAATGTATCTTTTACCTCTAATGCTTTCAGTGCAAGTGGGTCCCATAAGATCCATATGAACCAATTTAAGAGGAAGTTTGGTTGTAAAGTTGTTCACTTTTTATGAGGGGCACGGGTTTGATTCCCAAGTTGACATGGTCCACACACATGGTTCAGATTCTTATCCAGTTTAGGTACTCCTCTCACAAGCTCTTCATTGGCTATCTTAGTTAAGTCTTTGAAATTCATGTGACCTAATCTTTGATGTCACAGATCAATATTACTTATGGTGGCTGAGTGGCAAGTGAGATCATTAGTGGTAACAATCCCGTAACAGTTATCAGATGTGCGAATTCCATGCATGACAGTATTTTCCTTTTTATCTAAAATTTCACATTTATTTTTTGAAAATAATACTTCATGGTGGGAATCACACATTTGATTGATGCTCAAAAGATTTTCTTTAAGGCCATCAACAAGTAATACATTTTCAAGCTTGGGAAGACCAGCCACACTTATAGAGCTCTTACCAATGACTTTAGAAGTGCCACCATCTCCAAAGGTAACAATTCCTCCATATTTTTCAAAGGAGAAGAAGCAGGATTTGTCATCAGACATGTGACGAGAGCACCCACTATCAAGGTACAACATGTGTGAGTCACGTGCTTTTAGAGCAGTGTGAACAACAAAACAAGTCAAGTCATCCTTTCACACCCATATCTTTTTAGTCTTAACAAAATCAGGACTGGCGGTCTTGGTGAATGTCTTAGCGTTGTGAACACCCTCATGAACCTTGGTGTTCTACCTAGACATGTAAGGTTGTCTCCTAACCCAAAAAGTTTTAGAATTTTTACCCTTTTGAGACACCTTTCCAAACAACTCAAAGCAATAAGGACGAATGTGGCCATACCTACCACAATGATGACAAACAAAAATAGGTTTTACCTCCATTTTGTTGATCTTATCTCCGTTAGGCAGATGAAGTGAGGGATCACCCTGGTGCACCTTCAGCTTTCCCTTTGCTTGAGTCTTCAGATCATGTGATGTAGAGGCTTGTCCCTCGTGAGCTATCGCATTACCATAGCCTAGCCCACTTTTGTCACAACCCATTTGTTGAGACCCGAGGATGTCGTCTAATGACTTGGAACCTTTGTTCCACATGGAAATTGTGGCTCTAGCATTTCTGAGTTCTTCATCTTTTTGACCAACCATCTCTTCCAATATAGCTTGTGACATCTCAAGGCTTTCAATCTTCTCTTCAAATGTGACATATATTTTCAAAAGTTCACTACAACAAAAAAGAGTTTTTACGACGCGCAATGCACGCCGTAAAAACCCTTCTAAGACGTGCAGGCGCACGCCATATTATGACCAGTCATGGAAAGTCATTCACTTTCAATGACATGCTTCATACGCTGTTAAAAACTATTTAACGACAGATTTTGTGCCTCGTTGTTACTTTTTCTACGACATACTATATTACGCCGTTAAAAACTATTTAACAATAGATTTTGTGCGTCATTATTACTTTTTTTATGACTACTTTTGCATGTCGTTAATTGGTGAGACAAACAACAACGCTGATTGCACGCTGTAAAATATATTATACAACGACTTGCTCACCCTGCCGTAGATAAGTGGAACATACCACGGCGTACATGGAATGCTGCGAAATATTTCATATAATAACCTAATTTGCTTGCCGTAGAATGTGCATTTTTTTTAATTCAGTAGATTCTATATTTGACGTATTTTGTACAATCTAATATTACAAACAAGCTTCACAAAATATTAATCAACCACCAAAATATTATTTCAACCATGAAAAATAAACTATATCTATAAATTATAAACATTCAAAAATTGTCAATATATCCATTCCAAACATCCAAAAGGACTATCCTGAAGTTTTAAATTATCCAAAAAGTTATAAACCATCCAAAACTGTACATATATAAGTTTGTAAACATTATCCAAAACTATTCAAAAATTATAGAAATCTATCCATCAAAGTCCTCAAAACTATCCATAGAGTTCTTGTTCTAAAAGCAGCAATTTTTGATTTAGTTTTCTCATATTTTGATTTTGATATGCTTGTGCATCAACTTTCGATGGCAATGCTCCAAATCCAAGCCCTCTTACCCTACCACGCCGTTCTAGACCAAACGCATGAACAATTGCATCATCTTTGATAGACGTTGGCCCTTCTTCTGTAGCCTGAAGTTCTTGAACCTTATTCTGCAATATATAACATTTATGATAAAGAACCTAAGTTAGACAATGTAACAACAAAGGTAATACAAACATTGGTTCATACAGAATAATCAACTCATTCTTCACAAAATGATTAAGAAGTTGACATCTAATTTAAAATATTCCATTTCATTTTGAATGAACTATTTTTCTTTCAATTTCTATCCAAATTTCTTACTCATTGTTATCAATTGAACTAAATAGACCTAATATATAAAAAAAAATTACAATCAAAATTGATTGAATTGAAATTATAGAGACCCAATTATCAGAGAGCAGCACCATAGATAAAAAATAAATTAATATCTTTATGGGCCTTTATTAATTACCAGCTAGCCACAAAACAACCCAAGACTACCTAGTCCAAACATCTGTTCACCAGCACAGCATATCAGCACAACATATCAGCATATCATCAAGCATCTGTTCAACATCCATACCAAAACAAAACTGCACAACAACAGCAGCCCAAACAAGGGATGACCAAAGATGATTGTAGGAATTTAGAGTTGAAGACAGAGAGTGTTCTGTAAAGCAGTTTAGTGAGAAGAGGTAGTTGAGACCACCATATTGATTTTCGAAGTGGTGAAGCAGCAGCATATCAAGAATATATATACAGGAAATCTTAGAGAAAACAAAATGAAATTCTGGCACTCTTTCCTTTTGCTCACCCAACTCTTTTTTAATGTGATGGATCAAGTTTTACTAACAAATTAAAAAATAAAAAATAAAAAGAAAAAAAGAAGATATCTGCATCTTATATCCATGATGAAAATATTCGAAGATTCAAGCGCCAATATGCCACCACCCAGTCTAGCAGCAATTTACATCAAATGATCTGATCTAAAAATAATACATCAAACCAAAAAACTAAAAGATTTAGAGATTGGACCAGTAGTTGTAACGGAACAACATCATGGTGTGAAATTGTTTTATGGATTTAAATTATAAAAAAATCACGAAGATCTAGAGGAAGAACAATTTGGGCTGTCGGGGAATAAATCATAGCCCAAATAAACATAGATGGAAAACAATTGAGAGAATGTCAAAATGTAACACAAGAAAGAAAGGGCTGCAAAGCAAAGGTGTGTGACTTCTTCTTCATCCCCTTCAAAAATCCCTTTCACAGCTCCCAACTTTGATTAAGACCTGTTTGTTTAAGTATTGATTAGAATAAAAAATTGTCAAACCCACTCTCATTGCTTCTAGGATAAGGATAGGGACTTCACGAGACCTCCTAAAGCTCTGTGCCTAGTCCTTGCACTTTACTGATCTGTTACAGACCCTTTTGGGAGGGGTTGTTTTGATGGAATTGGGATCCTCCCCTTGAGCCCCTCCTTAATTCCCTCCTTGCAGGGGCCTTCGGGTCCAGTTTGAGGCTCAGTTTTGATAATCCGAACCGTTAATATTTTTAGATTTATTCAGTATATCATACCTGTAAAAAATCAAATTGATCGAATATCATAAAGTATGTGTTCGGAAAATTGTTTATTAAAAAATAGTTTGTAGTCCCAATTTTCTGAACGCATACTTTCTGATATCCGATCAACTTGATTTTTTACAGGTATAATATACTGAATAAATCTAAAAATATGAACGGTTCGGATTATCAAAACTGGGCCTCAAAGTGGACCCGAAGGCCCCTGCAAGGAGGGAATTAAGGAGGGGCCTCAAGGAGGGAATCTGGACTCGTTTAAATGATACTCTCAATCAATGACGTAACAAAATACTTTATGAGTTAAATAATGATGACTTATCTTTATTCAACAGTGTTAAATTCACATAAATAAATCACATTGTGTGTTGTGTGACTGAGATTTATTTCAAGTGTGGGTACGCCAAACCAAAAATAAATTTCATCCTTACCATGCATTTTCTGTACACTTTTCTATGTTTTATTTTGGTACACATAGCATCATTAATCTTTATTAAGTAGTTGAAAGATGCATACACTCATCTACTGTTTTTGCAGTTTATCATTTGTCGGGAGTACTGTGCAGTAAATGTCACATTGTATTATCAGAATACTTAATAATTTTCCTATAAAGTTAGGGGTATTTTAGTAAATTTTCTCAATTAAATAATGACAATTGGCATGTCCTTGATCCAAGAAGAACAACATACAATGGATGCCCACGTGTCAACACGCTACCCCTTGGAACCTGATAGAACAATGCAGCTATTGTTGTTATATATGCACATGAAAACTATATACACTGCTCCCCTCTGTTACATTATTGCGCTCTCTCTCTCTCTCTCTCTGTCTCTCTCTCTCTCTGGTTGTTAACATAGAAGTAGTAGAAGGAAGAAGAAGCTCAAAAAAAGAAGGAATAGCCGGAGTTTCTATGGAAGTTGGCCGGAAAATGTCCAACTTGCTCGGAGAAGAGCGAGATGGGTATAGCTTGAATCTCAAGGAGACTGAGCTCTGCCTTGGCTTGCCTGGTGGAGGCGGAGGAGCTGAGGCGGAGATGGTGAAGATCACTGGAAAGAGAGGCTTCTCCGAGACTGTTGATCTGAAACTCAACCTTATTCAACCTAATAATCAATCAGTTGTGGATCTGAAGGAGAAGATGAAGAACAGTCCACCAAAGGAGAAGATGAACCTCCTTCCCCCCTGCACTAAGGATCCGGCTAAGCCACCCGCCAAGTAAGTCTTTTCAAGCATCCTTTCCTATTCTCATGCTTCCGCCACTACAATAAATGTACGCAGTCTTATCCCAACGTGTAGATAGATTGTTTCCATGATTTAAGTCAGTGACGCCCAAATTATACTAAGCCAACCTTATGAGAAAGGCTTTAAATGATAGTGTAAAACTCTGTTAAGATACATATTGATATGCGCTGTATAGTGATATCGACTGATGTTAGATAGTATCAGTTAATATCTCAACTATCAACCAATATATTGCCCGATCTCTAACAATATTGGTTGATATACGGATCAAAAATTTAAAATTTTGATATTACGAGTTGATCTGATACGTAATAACCAATATTTAAAACCTGACAGCGAGGGTTACCCTAATGGCAGAATTTATAGCAGAGGGTTTTTTAGGGTTAAATGAACTAATAGATACATATGAACACTAACATAATTTCCTTTGGTGTTTAGGGCACAGGTGGTGGGTTGGCCGCCAGTTAGGTCATTCCGGAAGAACATAATGTCTCAGAAGAGCACCACCGAGGAGATAGAGAAGACTAGCAGGAGCAGTGGTGGCGGTGTAGCATTTGTGAAGGTTTCCATGGATGGCGCACCTTACCTTCGTAAGGTGGATCTGAAGATGTACAAGAGCTACCAAGAACTTTCTGATGCCTTGGCCAAGATGTTTAGTTCCTTCACCATGGGTATGTATATATAATTTTATAAACAATAATTGCATGCATGTAACTCATGAAGAAGATTGAGAGTCGTAATCAAGGTTTTAAGTAACTGTTGTGGTCGATATAATGGTAACTGTAGTGATGGTGCAGTTTCAAGAGTCTTAAAATTTTATTTTTTTATGCCTGATAGTATGTATGATCATGTCTTTTGTTTAGCAGCTAGAGATCTAGAGCCATTTTTATGATATAGTTTTTAATTTTCTAAGAAAACTATTCATATCCAGTTCTATCATGAAAGTAATTCCATTTTGAGTTAACTGAAAAACAGAACAGCATATTCTTTTCTTCCATTATTTTGGTAGCATAGTAATATAAGAAGAATAATATTACTACATGGCACAAGAAAAAGTGGATCTTAGAATCATCATGGTGATGCTACAGCCTAGCTAGCTTGTGAGTGTTTGTGTCCCATTTGATGGTAAGAGAAAAGACTATATGCAGCAAGAAAAAGTAGGCCAAAATTGTCAAAAAAAAATAAATTTTACTATTTTAACTAATAAAAATTAGAGTTTGATGAAATGGTTTACTAATCCATCATTGGTATTAGGGTTCTTCTGTCATCTATTGTATATATCGTCCATGCCCTAAACAAATTCAATGGCATAACTAAGAATTTCATTCAAGCAATGTCATTGTATTAGATTTTTTTTATTTCTACAACAAAATCAACTTTCATATGATGCATTGTAATTTTATATATTCCCTATAATCAACTTTCATATGATGCATTGCAAATAATCAGTAATTTTATTTCTCAAATCTTGATTAACTAGCCCACTAGAATTGAGTATTGTTTGCAGATTACTATTATTTGAGACTTCCTTAATCTGCATCAATTGCTTTTTACTAGTTATCCTTTATGACTGCTACTTTCTTATGCCTAGGTTTATTGGCAATTTAGACCTTTGTGGTCAACAAGTGAACAAACCATGTAGAATATCACTAGGCTTCCCTGTTTATTTAGACAGAATTTTTCCATTGTTTGAACGCATAAACTGGATTGCCACATGCATCAAAAGAGTTTAATTTCTGTAGTGAAAACCAGAGAGGTTGTATCTTCTTTCTTAAAGGAAATCACCATAGAACCATCTTGCATTTGGATGAAAATAGGATTAGATCACTTTCATATGAACACCAAACTTTAGTATGCTAAGGAAATGAGGAAAATAAAGCCTTCTACATAGTGAAATGGAAATACAATTTCCTGTTTGGGTCCAAACCCTAAACTGAATTGCACAATCACAACATTCCATATGGACGAGAGTAATTTGCAATCCTAATTCAGCATAATCTCTGTAATTCATGAACTAAGAATTCATAATTACATGACAGTAATTATTTTTTCCATCAATCCAATTTTATTGAGGTAGCTAAATCGCAATAGAGGGTTGGGTATAGATCTTTTCATGAGGTTAATTATATGGCGAATCCACAATTCACTGAGAAATACAAGCAATACATGCAACATATTTAGGTGGACTTATCTGGTTAAAGACCTATAATCATAAACCAAGAAGCTGTATCACCAGTTGTTTGACTGGCATAAAGGTCAGGTTTCAAATCTGTAATGAGATTCTTCTGATGCACAAAAGGAGAGAGCAATTATTGTAAGTTTGCTACCAGAATCTCGCTTGGTTTACAGTATTAGAGAGTTAATTACATTTTGATCCCCTCAATCATAAACATGCATCACTTTCATCTCCTCTTGCTCCCCTCCAGAAGGGGGCATTGTATGGTTTTCATAGTTGAGGGGGTTAAAATGTACATGTTTATAGATGAGGGGGGTAATGTAATATTAACAAATAGTAAATGGGATCTTGGTGTAATTAACCCTTTATTGGATTTAGCACTTACCTCCTTTTTATTCATATAATTTGAGTACTATGATATCATCATGAAATAATTCAGAATAGACTTATCTAAAATTACTCATATTTTTCATAAGGTTCTGTTCATGGTGGAAGTTGCAAAATATGTAGGGGAAAGAAGGGAAATTTAAACAAAAAAAAAAGGGAAATTCAGACAAAAGCCAAAATAACTTCTAGGTCATAATCATTTACATTTTAGTGTTTCAGATTTAAGATAACACAAAACCTAGTCATCCAAGCAGATTACCCATGTATTCTGATTGAATGGCAAGTCAGACAGCTGTGAGCTCTTGCAGAGTGCACTAAGCATAGAGGATTAATACCTAAATGGAAAGAATATATCCCGAAAAAAGACATACCTATCATTATTGTCAGTTTGAACACTACCGAGTCGTTTGATAATTTCCATTCCTCTGCATACTCTTCCAAAAATTGTGTGTTTTCCTAGCCAAAAGATAATCATGAATTACAGCATTATCAGCTAAGAACAAGGCTACAAGATATATGTACCTAGTGAAGATCAAATAGAAGAAATGAAAGAATAAACATGCCATTCTCACACCATGCTGAGATTTAATTCAAAACAAAGCCCAGCAATGACAAACCAAATGTTAGCCTAAATTGGAACCCTGCAGAAATTTTGAGGTGTTCTGTATGAAGGGCTCTCTATCAAAGACATTGCATGTAAATAGCTGAGTTGAAGAAGAGAAAGAAAGGGTGGTGTTCTGTATGACATTTACAGTGGCAAGTAACGATATGATAGCTTAAAATACAAGATCTACATGTAGAATTTCTGCTTCTGCCACACAATGAAACAAGTACAGAAACTAACCCTTTGTTGTTAATATGCCAACTAGATGTTGATTGTTATAGCCAAGCATCCTCTAAAGTGCCAGACAATAAAAAGTTTCGGTATTTTAGCAGAAAACCATAGGTACTATTGTGAAATATACAGATTAAGTCTAAACCCCACATATAGGGGCCAAAATAGTGATTATGTGATACTTAAACCAGATGCCCTTCACCAGCATGAATGTCAGCAATGAGCTAAGCAAATTAAAAATAAAGGAAAAGGATCAAAGAATGTGTCTTCTTGTTAAGCATCATGAAATCATCCTTCTTGTTGACACAAAAGCCTATAGCATGTGACTAGATATGCAAAGTTCACATGTTTAGACATTATTCTAAACAGATTGACAAATAAATCTACCAGTTACTAAGCAGAGCCACATATTTACCATGTAATGACGGTGTAGGTGCCAAGGTAATAAAGAACTGGCTTCCATTGGTATTTGGACCAGCATTTTCCATGGATATAATGCCAGCTCCAGTATGCTTTAACTTTGTTGTAATCTCATCCTTGAACTTAGCACTGCAATAAATTAAGAAACAAGTCACCCATTAGTCAAAGATTTGAAATCAGAAAACTTCCAGTTACTTCAAAAATACATGCAAGTAGACTACGTTTCAGTCAATCAAAGGCCTAATGATATGAAGTTACGATATATCTAATTAGCTACACATACTTCAACCACTATTATAGGCCTTTTGTTACAATATCAACCATTTAAAGATTTCTTTGCAAACAGTCACGAATTAAGAGCTGAGAAAAAGCTTGTGGCTACACTGTGCTTAATATAGACCACCCAGAAAGTTGGATCAGTCATAACGGGCACTCTTAGGAGCACTCACCTAAAACAAGGGCACTAACAAATTGCATACAGAGCTCAAAATCATGTAATGGGATAGGAATCACTTTATGCTGGTCAAGATAAAATAGCAATTTGATATAGCATAGAAGCGGCATTGAGAGATACGATAGATACCGCAGTTTATTTTTTGATCAGTTTATAAAATTTTTGTTGTTGATCCCAAAAAAAAAAATTTAAATTAAATTAAAAGATACATACCACAGTTTATCAGCTCATGCTGTAGGTTGGATTCTTTTGAGAATTAATCATTACAAATAAGACATCTAAGAATCCACTTAGTAACTAGAAAGCAGCCATAATAAAAAACATGTGAATGTATTAAAGTAGAATTTATTGAGGAGAAGCTCTGGTCTTGGAAAAAATTGTACTCGTTTCTTCGTTTTTTCTTTTTGCAAAATGCCTTTTCATGAAGGACTTCTAACAAAAAGCTACACCAAATAAACCTAAACAGTAAATATCAAAAACTAATGCAATACCTCCACAGTAACAGAAGAAAACTTGGTTAAGATATATCTTAATAGAGTACATTGCAAATGAGAACGCATTGTATGTTTACTAAAAGACCATATCCCTTCTGCACAAAGAGAATACTTGAAGACCATTTTGTTCAACACAAACCCATGTATCCAATGCAAACAGAGTCAGTGAACTTCTTGATGACCTTTTTCCGTATCTCCCTTGGTCATTTGAATGAGATGTTCAGGAATTTGGAACATAATGGGTTATGCCTCAGTCTCTACAAACATACATTGGGTGAATAACAATGCACACCATAGAGTTTGAAAGGCATAATACTAAACTGTCCTCCTTTTCTTTTTTTTTTTTTTTTGGTACAATAGAGGCTTCAGAACGAAGTAAACAAAAATGAGCATTTTTTTTTTCTTTCAAAAGATCAGCAACTAGTATCTTCTCCACCACTCGAGTCTAGACATAATGAATCATGATACAATTTCCATAAAACTTTTTCAGGAAATCATCTAATGGTTTCAACTTATACAAGTCCAACAAAAAAATAAAAATAAAAAACTTAACAACACCATTCACATATATTCCAGTATTGATAATATATTTTTTTTTTTGGTTGGGAGGGGAAGGGAGGGAATAGTTAGCTACTTATTTATTACAAAAATAAACAAATAAAATTAAAAAAACAAAAAAAACAAAAAATGAGAACATACCCATATCTAGTTATAACAATTTTCATTTTTTGATGATAAGAGCATCACATGTTGCTTTTCCAGCAGGTAGTATACTCATGAGCAAGTTTTTGTTTTTACTTCTAGAGCTTTCTCAAAAAAGGATTCACTATTTCATCCCAAACTTCCCATTCCTACAACCACCAGGCCTTTAGCACTAGTAAGAGCACCATCATTACTTCAGCATTTCTGCTGCACCATACTAGTGAAATTTGTCAGGAGGCTATGCGCATCACCGTAGTTCTTAATAAAACACAAAATCAAAAGAGGAAAAAAAAACATTTCAATCAAGAAACTCATGTACATAACTAGATGCTCTGTTTGGCCCCTAAGAAAACAAGTTGTTCGGTAGCCAAGAAAAGAATCTAAACAACTCAGAAAATGTACCTGTGTTCTTCTTCTCTCCATGGAGTTCCTTTCTTCCTCTCGACCTCGCCATGCTCTGTCTTTGCTGCCGACCTGTGTGAGTGATTTTCTGATCACACTACCCAACTCAGTATTCAGCTAGAGAACACTGACAGAATAGATGATACCTGGCTAACCTGTAACAGAAAGAGAAGATTCCGACAGTGGTTCGTCCACCTGGGGGTACTCCGACGATCAAGTCAGTATATCTCTCAAAGATAATCAATAGTGCAAATCTCACTGTTCAGAATATAAATTGCGTACCTTAGACCCATGGGGGTGCCTTCCTTTTATAGCCAACACAATCCTAGTCTCAAATAGAAGCCTAACTCTAATGGACTTAGGATTACTGCTAATCTTGGACTCCCAGTAGGATTGGGATAAACTCCCTAAGAGTCTTATCCTTTCCCAACTGTAGTCTTTCCCTTTTCTAGGACTCTTGTACCTTATCCGCTTATCTCGGATTTCGATATCTTCGGAGGTAACTTCGGCCTTGCCGAGATAACCTCGGCGTCATGACCAGGACACATGGCACCTCGGCTGACACGTCGGGGTCACCTTAGCCACGTGTTGGTACTCAGAAAATATATCCCCACACGACCCAAACGAGGTCTACCTCTTCTTTGACTTGGTCTCTCATTCGAGCAACGACTCGTCAGAGTAACTTTGCAACTTGACTTGGCCCGACTCAATCTCGTTCGCAAATCTGAGAGGGAGAAAGAGAGATGCCCCAAATAAGATGTGTTTAGGGCAAATCTGTGTGTGTGCGAGAGAGAGAGAGAGATGCCCTAAATGAGATGTGTTTAGGGCAAATCTGTGTGTGTGTGTGTGAGAGAGAGAAGAGAATAGAAGAGTATGAGTTTGTACCATTCCTTATCTCCCTCCCTGTGCCCGACGCTGTTAAGTGGAGTTGTACTGGCGATGGATGCCCTTCGAACCAGTGTCTGATGATTAGAATCTATTAGAAGCCCAAATAGTTGATGTATATATTCTTTCCCTCAATATTTTTTTTTTGTTTTTTTGGTGAATTGGCGCGAGAAATTTCATTTTGGCACTTCTTTGTTTTTATCATACAATTTACAACATACATTGTCTATCGTAAAAATTGCAATACTTTTAACGACAGGCGTTGTGTGTGTCGTAAAAAGGAAATACTTTTTAATGACGGGCGTTGTGTGCGCCGTGAAAAGTGAATACTTTTCACGGTTGGCGTATGTGTGTCATGTATAATTGATGTATTAACGGCACGCCATATGCACGTCGTAGAAAGTTTTATTATTTATGGCGTGCATTGCAAGCCTTAAAAAAAATTATCGTTATTATCATTCACAGCCTACGCAATAGACACGCCGTGGTTGGAAAAGTATTTACGACGTGCAAAAAAAGCAATTCGTAAAAGTGAGAAACTACGACGTGCATTTATTGTATGTCGTTGATGTGGTGCTGTAAAAAGTCGGTTTTGTTGTAGTGTCATTCCTTTCGATCTCACAAAATAGAAGTTTCTCACATAAGTCTTGCCTGTCATTAGAGATCTTGATGATATTTTGCTTTGTTGTTGCAATTTCTCTTTTTAGCTTGGCATTCTCACTTTCACATGCTTTGAGCTTAAAAATGAGTTTGTCATTGATCTTGGACAAATTTAGAGATTCATCGTAAAGCTTTTTGTAAACTTGTTGTAGATCATCACCATCAATCTCATCATTGTCTTCTGATGTTTCATCATCTTCTTTTTGCTCCTCTTTCTCCTAGACCTCATCCAGTCGAGCAACTAAGGCAGGAAAGGTGATAGATGATGGTGAAGATAACTCTCATCTTTCATGAAATTGACTCAGAATGTCCTAAGCATCTTTGGCCTTTGTGCAGTGAGCAACCCGTTGCTGTTCTTCATCAAAAATTACTTCACGAATAGTAGACAAAACTCTCTGATTGCTCGGATTGTCAGTGCTTTAAACATCCTCTTCAATGGCTTGCCAGCCTCAAGGTCGAAAGCTCTCAAAAACACCCTCATTTTGATCTTCCAGTACAAGTATTTACTCTCATCAAAGGTAGGAGCACGGTGCAGATTCTAACCACGAGCAAATTCTACTGGCTTCGGAGGAGGTTGAGTGACAGTAGACCAGAATGCCATGAAAGCACTATCTTCCTCTTCACCAGATTCGGTTTTTTCGGGTTCTTGCTCTGACCCGCTTTCATCATCCCAAGTCACTGTATAGACTTTCTTCCGATTCTTTTTCGATGGACATTCAAGAGCAATATGTCCAAACCCTTAACATTCGTAGCACTCGACCCCTTGCCCTTTCACAATCTTCTTTTCAGTTTTTGGAGCAAGTTTTGGTGGAAACGTTTTGGGTTTTTCATTACTCTTATCTTTTGAAATAGGGTTCTTGAAATTAGGCTTCTTTTTCTTTAAATTTTTTTTGAACTGTTTAGTAAACATAGCCGTTATCTTGGACTCTAGATCAAACTCAGTCTCAGGAGTTTTTGTAGTCTCATGGGCACTCGTGAAAGTCGAACTATCTTTTTGTTTTTTCTTAGAAATCTGGTGGGCTTCATAAGTCTGCAAGTTTCCAACCAACTGATCAAGCTTGAGGGTATCAACATTCTGAGTCTCCTCAATAGCTGTCACTTTTGATTGGAACCTCTCGGGTAAAGACCTCAAAATTTTTCCAACAACCTTAGCTTCAGGGATTTTTTCACCGAGTATGAAACAGAAATTCACGATGTCACTCAGCTTAGCATAAAAATCATCAAACGTCTTATCATCATACATAAAAAGAGTTTCAAAGGCAGAGGTGAGACATTAAAGTTTTGGCCTTTTAACAAAAGTAGTACCCTCGTGAATTGTTTCAAGAATGTCCCAAGCCTCTTTTGCTACCTCACACGTGCAAATAAGACGAAACTCTTCAGGTGTGACGGAGCAAAAAAGGGAATTGAGAGCCTTTCTGTTCCAACTTGAGTTTTGATAGTCGAATGAGTCCCATTTATCAAGCGGTTTGGGAATATCAACACCATCAATGGTGACAATAGGTTCACCCCACCCATAGATCACACAGTGCCAAACTTTCTTATCGATAGATTTTACAAACGCTCTCATACGAGCTTTCCAATAAGAATAGTTTGTACTATCTAGTAAGGGAGGTCTATGGGTCGAGTTACCTTCGCAGATTGAATCCATATCACTAATCACACAAAATCACACTCCTATAGTTTTCATAAAAACAAAGAGTGACCTGCTCTGATACCAAATGAATAACCTAAGTGATTTGTGATTAGATCAAGATTTAATAGTTCCAATTCCTAACCAATTAAAACTCACAATCTAAATCATCAAGCATGTATAAAAGTGATTTAGATTGTTGCTTCAGAAAACAATAAATCAACACAAACGATTTTTACGTGGAAAAATCATAATTGAAGCACCTTCAATTGTGATAAAAAAATCACAGGTGAAACGCCACAAATCAATCCACTACTGAAGAAAGAAAGATTACAAAGATAATCCACAACATCCATTGTTGAATCAACGACTGCACATAGCTTCAAACTCCTTTGATTACTCTGTGCTTGAATCTTCGGATTCCACCGAAGAAGAATACTCTCAAAGAAGATCAAACAAACTCCTTGATGTGTGCTTATGAGAACATAAGTTCAAACTCAATCAAACATCAAAGAAAACCAGAAAAATATCCCCAAAAGAAAACCCTAAAACCCTTAAAGAAAATCTAGAAAACGTAACCCTAGATTTGGAGCAACTTGAGGTTTTATAGAGGCTGAGATCGCGAGGTCCGCTCGAGCGTGGAAATGGATGCTCGAGCGGGGACTCTATATCGCATGTTTCAAACCAGGGTTCACGCTCGAGCATCACATTGTTTGTTGAATCGTGAGGATGTTTGTAATATTTTTTAGTAAATTAAACGTGAGGACGGACATTATGATAAAATGATTATTCTATTCAACTTCATTTCAATAAACCAAAGATAACTTAAGACCGAAATAATTAACCAAACATTACTCAAGATTGAAATTATTTCAGAACCCTATTTTTAAAACAGAATTATGCGCCATGTTTGGTTTGTATTTGTAAAACAATTTTGAAAAATATTTTTTTAGAAAAAGTTTACAAATTTTGAAAATTTATTTGGTTGTGTTTTGATAATAGTTTTGGAGTTTTGGAAATTTTTTTCTCAAAAATTGTATTTGTAGATGCAAACCAATCAAGGCCATGTAGCCTAAGGCAACAACCTTCCCCGCCTTGTTTCAAGACCGTCCCTAGAATGGTGTTAGGTAAATGAGCTCTATAATAGAACCAATGAAAACCTACAAAATGAGTTGGTATTGGTTTATACTTGGGTCTTACATTTCCATTTCTCTTTTCTCTTTTCAACTTTCTATTTTTTTTTTTTCCTTCATAAGAAACCAAATGATATATACATGCATAGAATGTCCCTAAAAAAAGGTTAAGTTCATATCCATTACATTCAAGCAATCTTGTCGGCTTTAACTCAAGTTTCATATTTTATGGGTTGTTCGGGCAACAAAAAATCAAAAGTATAATTGAGTAATATTACAAACTCACTCTTAGCAATTTAAAAATTATCGAGAAAATAATCTCTACCACAGCCTATATGGACCCTACATTACACAAATTAGTCTCCACCATACAATCACCCACTCAGAAAATTCTAGATAGGTAAGTTTGGATTAACAGACTCTCAATACAATTAGGTAGACAAGTCTAGTCCAATCATATTGTCATCTTTATTACAAAGTGAAATTACTCATTAGATAATGACACTATTGTGTAATATCACCATTATATTTAATATTTGTTCATTGAAAGCAACCGAAAAGACCATAATTTTCTTGATGAGTCTTTCCTTTTGGAGTTGCTTCCTTAATTATTTAATATTTGTTCATTGAAAGAAACCTAGAAGACCATCATTTTCTTGATGAGTCCTTCCTTTTGGAGTTGCTTCCTCAATTATTTAATATTTGTTCATTGAAAGAAACCTAGAAGACCATCATTTTCTTGATGAGTCCTTCCTTTTGGAGTTGCTTCCTCAATTATTTAATATTTGTTCATTGAAAGAAACCTAGAAGACCATCATTTTCTTGATGAGTCCTTCCTTTTGGAGTTGCTTCCTCAATTATTTATAGCGTGTTGAATGGGTTGTTTACTTCAATTAACGCAATTCTTAAAAATCATTTCCATGAGCTTGACTTTTCCATTCAATTTGGCCCTAAAGGCTTCGGCTTCAGTTTTGGGTGAGAAATTAGTGGTGGTTAAGAGTTTTAATCCAAACTAATATCCTTTAAAATGTCCAAATTGGAAGAGGAAATTATAATTTGCTACACCAGTAAATATATGTGGTATCTCTACTTATATTTTATCAATTAAAATAGTGACATTTACCACTTTTATGTTTTTTTTGGGAGAAAATATTACACTAGTTTTGAAATAAGTGGTACAAAGCAAAACTAAATTGGTTCATAAATATTTTTTTTAAAAATACAATGAAAGTCTCATAACCAAAGTCACTTCAATTCAAAACGAAACAAGACAAAGTCTTATAACCAAATTCACTTCGATTTATTACTAAACACCGCAAAATCTTATAATCAAATAGTAATTCTAACTGTAATTATTAAATTGGGTTTAATTCAATAGGCCAATGCAATAAATAAATAAAAAGGGATTTAATCAGTAAATAACCAAATGATTATATCTAATTGTCCCTAATAGTTGCACCTAATTATTAGGTCAAGCTTAAAAAAAAAATTCTAAATTTCATATTCAATATAAATTTTCTTTGAAATATCTCAAAAAAGCAATCCAAAAATAATTTGTTTGGTTCTGTCTTTAAAATGTGTTCAATGAATAACTAAAGCTAATGAAAATTTATTTTGGTGAAAAAATAATGAATAATCCAAAAAGACTTAACATTTTCATATTGTTCTCTTTTTAACACATAC